GGGGCCAGGTGATAGGCTCAGAGATGGTGGGGTGTCAGCAAGGAGGTGCCCATCCAATAATTGATGGGTGTGTCACAGGTCAGGGCCAGAGATAAGAATTCTGGAATCACTTTCCTGAAGTGTTATTCGGAGCTGTGGATGTAGAGAATTCTAAGAAAAATGTGGGGAGGAAAACAAAACACTTATGGAGTCTCTTAACTTACTTACAGTCAGGAGATGACAGGTGAAATGAAGCTAATGAAGGGGCGAGAAGCAGAAGCTCGGGGTAGGAGACAAATGAAAAGAACTGCATCTCAGAGGGGCAAGGTCAGAGTCTGAGCTGCCATCCATATATTAATTAACCTATAAATAACTACTAGCTGAATACTCGGTATTCAGCTCTGTGCTGAACACTGTGCTGGTCTCGGGGCCTGAAGGACTGAATAAACAAATGAACAATGACTAGAATGCAGATGAAACGAGGCTCCTGCCCCATAACCTGTAACAACCAGCCCAGGCAGTCAACCTCCTACCTGCAATAACCAGTCCAAGAAGGCAAACTACTTTCTAAAAAACCAGTCTAGGAAGCCAAATTGTCACCCCTCTGGCAGTCATCCCTCAACAGCCAGGACTTGGCTAATTACTGACCACGTCTCTATTTTTGACCCTTATTTCCAACTGAAGACCAACTGGAGAAACCAAATCGTTTTCTGTAATCAATCACATACATTTCTATTTATCTCGCCTACAGCATTCCCATGCCGACAGCCTCCAATCAGGGCAGACCTGATGAGTGTTTTCTACTTTTTTTTGTTTTTTCAGTCTTTTGCCTGCCTTTGAGTCTCTGCCAAAATTCGAGTGATGGTAGCTGATTCCCTTGTAAGCTCTGAATAAACAGCCTTTGCTTGCTCTCATCTGGTTAGTCTTCATTTATTTCCACAGATAGAATAATGAGCGAGGCAAACATGGTTCCTGTCCTCAGGGAACGTATGTAGTACTGAGAGATACAGTACAATACACATGGAAATAACTACAAAGGAGACAGTTTTAGGAAGGAAACATACAAGGAACTCAGGGTCAGGGCAAGTGGCTAAGTTAGATGATACTTTAGAGGAGGAGGCAGCTTGAGGGAACATTTCGAGGATTGGGGAGCATGTTTGTAGGATAAATGGCAAGTGCTAGTGGACGTAAAGGTGAAAAAGGTCAGAAGAATGGAGGGGATAAGTTCAAGGTGGGGGAGGTGAACTAGGGTATAAACACAAAGGTTGACCTTGGCAAAGAGGTGGGATATTTTTCCCATTGAAACAGGAGGAAAAGAGAGAAAACGTGAGAAAGCAACTTCAGAGTTAAAATGCTTCAAATATAAACCATTGAATCAATTAACATTAGGGCTTTGCCACCTGCTGGGAGTTTAGAAGCTCAGACCAGGGGCAAGTGGGTGTGTTCCGGCCAAAGTGTGAAACCCAGGCAGCTGCCTTGCACGTTCTGCTTTCCAAATTCACAGTCCAGGCAGCTTGCGTATCCTTAGCCATATGGTCAGTGTAAACTTTCCAGAGCATCAAAATCCACTCAAAGGTGAGATTCAAAAAACAGTCAGGATTATTTTCAGGGCCAGGACATTTCATGAGTAGAGAGGCTGAGAGTTGGCACCAGCAATGAAAAGGCAACAAATTTAAATTCATCCCAGCCTTGTCTGAGGTCTGCTTCTGTCTATAGAGACAGGGGCTGTCCCAGAACAGCCATTGATTGTGAAACTGCTGGGTTCAGGTCCTTTGACTCCTGCTTTGCAGAAGAAGAACCTAGAACTTACCAGGCTCTGAATACTTTGATTCAAAGGTGAACTTTGGAAGGAAGGAACAGTTTTCCCTGGGGTGGATTCTGGTGCCTTAGCAGAAAGCACCAGGAAACCAGACCAGGGGTGGAGACAAAGGGAGGCAGCCAGAAGGGGCCTATTTCTGACCTATGGCTAAGTTTAGAGCTCATCCTCTGTGGACACAAGTCAAATGTGGGGATTTTTCCTCCTCCAAGAGCATCCAAATAGCCACAGCAAAACATTAAATAATATATGTTGCTATGCTTTCATTATTAAACAAAAGGTAAACACATCACCTAGCTCTAACCCATTTCTCAGCCTTGGTCCCTGCAGAGAGGCTCAGAGGTGGAACAGAAATATTTATCATGCATGTGATTTAATAGTTTTTTTTAATAACTGAAAAATTGATGTGTGAAAGTAATGATAAGATGGAAATTTTGGTGAATATTTTTATAATTTTGATGAGAAGAACTTTCTTATGTCAGTAGCTATAAAGTAAAAGATTAACAGAGGTACTAATATTTTTAAAAGGCAAGATAAAAAGGAAAGGGAAAGGGATTTTTTAAAACACTGGGCACAAAATTACTACATACAATAGCCAAGACTTGGAAACAACCTAAATGTCCATTGACAGAGGACTGGATAGAGAAGCTGTGGTATATTTATACAATGAATACTACTCAGCCATAAAAAAGAATAAAATTATACCATTTGTAGCAACATGGATGGACCTGGAGATTATCATTCTAAGTGAAGTAAGCCAGAAAGAGAAAGAAAAATACCATATGCTATCACTCACATGTGGAATCTAAAAAAAGGAAAAAGAAGACACTAATGAGCTTATCTACAAAACAGAAACAGACTCACAGACATAATAAACTTATGGTTACTGGCAGCAGAGGAGGGTGAGGGGAAAGAGGGTGGTAAGGGATAAATTGGGAATTTGAGATTTGCTCATATTAACTACTATATATAAAACAGATAAACAAAAGTTTCCTTCTGTATAGCACAGGACACTATATTCAATATCTTGCAGTAACCTATAATGAAAAAGAATATGAAAACAAATATATGTATGTATATGTATGACTGAAACATGCTGTACACCAGAAATTGACACACTGTAAACTGACTATCCGTCAAAACAAACAAACAAAAACACTGCACAAAATTAAAAGACAAATGAAAAATAGAAACATCCACAACACACACGTATAGGCTAATATTTCTAATAAAGAAGAACTTTTAAAAATCAGTTTAAAAATATGACTACTCCAACTGAAATACGGGCAAAGGATCTGTATAGGCAATTCACATTTAGAGTAAAATCTGAACTCTTTACTATGGTTTTACAGGTTCCATGGATCTTCTACTGCTTAGCTCTCTGACCTCAGCTCCTAAGACTTTCTCTCCTGCTAACCACTGTCTAACCACAAGGGACTTTTTTTCTGGTCTGGACCTCAAATAACTAAACTAAACTCATGCTTACCTCAGAACATTTGCACTTGTTAGTCCCTATTTCTGTTATGTTTTTGTCCCATATCTTTGCATATCTACTTCTTCCACATACTTTGGGTCATAGTTCAAATATCACATCTTCAGAGAAGCCCTCTGCCATTACTTCATGTAGGGATGCCTCAATCATTAGTCATACTTCATCACATCATCAGATGGTGATACAA